ACTGGCCTTGTGATTATAGCAATTGACATAATTAACTGTGCCTCCCCCACAGGTGGATGGGGGCGAAGAACCCAGCCGATACAGGGTCTTGCACATCAGTAGAATCCCAGGCGAGCCGGGACCCCCCACGAACTTGTGCGTACTCAGGAAAATTGCGTCATACCCATCCATTTCGCCCGACCTCATGTCTATCTTCACGTATGGCCCGCTGTATTCAAACAATAAATTAAAAAATCGATTTAATTAAATTGAATTGACAGTCAATAATCAGCAGAAATAAAATTAATTAGCTGACCTGGCTGCAAAATCGAAACAGACGAACCCCCCATGCTCGTGCAGAAGCCGCGCTACGGCCAGCGTGTCGGTACGAATTCCGGTGACGTTGCTGCAGGCCGAGAAAGAGCCCAAGATGGGGCGGTTTTTGGATCTGTAGAGAGCGAGCTTCTCCCTGAGATCGTCCATGTCAAGGAGGCCGTGTGGGTTGATTCCGATCTCGACCACCTCGGCCAGGGTCTGTTGCCAGGACAGGATGTTGGAATGGTGCTCGTAGGGCCCCACAAGCACTACCCACCTCTCCTCTTCCCTTAGACATCCCATCACTCGCTCTCTCAGCGTCGAGGGCACGGCTATCCCCATCACCTCCTGGAGGCGTTTCACGCCCGCCGTGGCACCCGACCCGCAGAACAACAGGGCGTCCCCTTCCCCGCCGCCCAGGCACTTCTTCACGTAGTCCGCGGCCTCGCGGATCCTTCGCGTCGTGTGGCTGCCCACGTGGCTGTCGCTAGTGTGACTGTTGCCTAATTTCGAGATAAGAAATGGTAACCAATTACATTTTTTTTTTATTTTTTGGGGAGATGCGTGTGAAATTATTAATTAATGTTAATTACATACCGTAAAAGGGGAGGAAAGTGGTGGTGATGTAATTTTCGATGCAGCGGAGGGCGCAGCCGGAGGCGGTGTGGTCGGCGTAGGTGAGGCGGCGGCGCCCAAAGGGTGTGTCGAACTCCGCTGCGCCGCCGATGATCTGAGAGCGGAGCCAGGCTAGCTTGTTCTGGACGCTGTCGCTGCTGCTGGGAATGCCCTTGTCGAGGACGTCGAACGACTCGTCGGCATTCTGGATGTGAAGTGACACGTTATTGCTGTGACCCAAGGGATGGTCCAGTTCCATATGTTTGGAATTTCGAGACTCTTCTCTATTTATTTTTCGTGTAACATTTAGTTGGGGAGCGGTAGAGTAATAAAATGATATCTCCCCATTATTTATATGAAGGAGTTTGACGACACGTGGGAATGATTGAGTAATATATAATATATCTCCACATTATTATATGAAGGAGTTTGACGACACGTGGCGAATTGAGAATAACGAAAATACCCCTGTTTAGATATACAAGTTAGAGTGAGGGCCCAATCGTTTGACTATTGAAGTCGTCACGAAACATCGAAGCTTTTAATTCGGCCTTCGGTTGATTTGATTATTTATTTGCTTTATCCATCTTTTTCGTGATGAGTTTGTGGTGTCATTATCCGGCGGCTCATAGGGCAGGAACTCCATTTTGGTTTTTTTCGTGCAAATTGGAAAAACCAATTCTGACTGCTGAAGCCGCGTGCCTAAGCTGTGGATGATATGTTTGGCGTGCCAGGATTCAAATCTATTCGGGACTGACTAATACATTCGGTTGGTGTTGCAACATTAATACATCATATATTTTTCATGATAATTATTCCAATCGTTTTTTTTTTTTTTCCTCAAAACACCATCTAATAATCAATTATTTCTTATGTTTGTGATGTTGTTTGTCTTACGAAGATAGCACAAGTATCGGTGTAGAAAAGATCGACATATTTTTTTTTAAATAGAATAGCTTAAAGGTATATATATTTAAGATTTTTTTTAAAAAAAAATTAGTATTTAATAATTATTGTGTATCTAGGTTTTGACTTTTTATGATTTTAAAAATTCTCGTATTATTGAATCGGGACTTTAAAAACTTTAAAAAGTCATGAGAGAATTAATTTATTTTTAACGCTGAAACTCATTAAGACTTCTTACGATTTGCTGAGAATTCAAATACAAATTATATATGTCAAATCTTAAAACCAAAAACACACCTTTCAACTAGTAGATTTCAAATAAGGATTTCACTATGTTAAAACTGTTTAAAAGTTTTGAATTTAAAATTACTTAAAATACCACTCAAAACCTCAAATAAATAATTGCTAATTACATTATTTATTTAATTCAATTTGTACACTTGTTCGATAAGAAATTGTAAAATAAATATAATATTAATAAATTAAAACAAAGGTTAGAAAAAGTACTCCAAAAGTTTACCTTTGATAATATTAATTTTATTAAGCATGTTTTTGTGGAATATAAGAATTTACATATTTACTATTTTATTATTCCAACAATTAAATACCAATTATGTTGACTTCATTTTATTTCAAATCAACTTTCAAAAGGACAAATAAATTTGAAGATTATATTTTCATATCGAATTTATTCGTAAAGGTTGTTATTATTATTATAATTATTATTATTAATTAACTAATTATTTAACAAAAAATACAACATAGTTGTTATTTTTCCAAAAAAGAATTTTCAAATCAAAGTTGTATGATTTGAAGCTCAAAAATATTAATATTACCTATTAAAAGTGATTAAATTTTACTTTCTTATTGTCGTTCATGAAAATAAAATTACAATATTTGTTAATAAAGTGAAATCATTTAATTGAGATTAACAAAATTGTTAATGGTAAGAGAAATCATTCAAGTTTAATAAGGGTAAATCAAAACAAAAATGAGATATAAATATACTATTACATTGTTATAATTTTTTCAGGTAGGGCTATAGCCCACCCAAGACCCAATGTAGCTACGCCCCTGGGCGTGATGCCATTGAGTTGAATTAACTAAGTTTTCAAAATAGGACCGTCACCCAACCTGACAATTTATTGGTTTAATAAGTTACTGATTCGACATGTGGTTGATACAATTGAATCGCTATTTAATTTATTAATATTTCTAGATATATAGTATTTCTAATTATATAATTTTATAAGTAAAGCTAACATAATTTTTAAAAATTAGTCCGACTAGTCTTTAGTTTGATAAGTCAAGGGTAAAAAACTAAAAATTGGGATGATTACTAAAGGTAATAAATATATTACTAATGAGCGCATTTATATGATAATAAAAAAAAAATTATTCATAGATACTACATAATAAATTGTTGCGGAGATGGGTTACCTACATTTAGGTAACTAGCAAAGTGTACGTGCGAAACACGTGATACATTATTTATATTTTAATTAAACTTTAAATTATATTTTCTCTTTTATATTTTCATTGTCTATTTTTTATTTTTGTATTATTTTTTCAATTAATCAAACAAAATAAGTACATTACATAATGAAATGTGTAAAATATATTGAATTTTAAAATTAAATTTTCAAAATAATAATATTTAAAAGTCATGGTGAAAAAGATTGCATAAAAATTTTGGTTGACGAACTTTCATTACCTAAATTGATCTTGTTTATTTGAAATATTTTTCGTTTGGGGAAGATTGAAAAATATGAATAGTAAAATAAAATTGAAATCTTCTACAATAATAATTACATGTGATAGTTTACAATTTTGTCTTCTTATGTTTTTGAATAAGAGAATTCTTTTTCATTATTTTTATTAACTAAATAAAACATAAAGAAGGGATGGGACATCTCTCTCCTTTTTTGGGGAAGAGAGAGGGTCCAAAAGGGGCTTCATTCCATCTAGCCTCAACTTCTTACAATATTATTCATATTATCTTTTCTTTTCAAGTGACATAGCTTTCATATGCATTTTTATACTTGATCTAATTAATAATAGTTATTTTCATGAGTTATAAATATATATTCAAATTAAAAATCAAATTTTGATCGAATTTTAGTTTATTTTTTTCTATTCAAATGTGCTTTATTTTACATGAATTATTACAAATATATGGTATACGATCTCATTTAGATTTCAATAATCTTAAAAATAAAATAAAAACATTAAAAATATTTTTTTGGGAAAAAATATTTTATTTTCGCTTAAGAAATTAATTTATTTAATATAAAAGGTTACATACTATGTATAATAACCGATAGTTTTGGCCTTCATGTCACATATAATGCTCAAACAATTGTGATTGAATAACATGTGCATATCAATCAATTAATGTGTAGTGAACCACAAAAGATGTATAATCTTAAGTTCAAAACTACAAAACCTTAAAATTCTAGATGAATCATAATATTATAAACTTGGTAAAATTAAACATATATACACTTGTAAACTATGTCAAATTTTTGCCTTACATTTGTTCCTAACTTTACTGATTTGTTTAATTTTTTTATTATATTGTATTTTATTATAAGTATGAAAAATTATTAAAAATAGAAACACATGTTAGGATATCTATAGAAATTTTGTTAACTCATTTTTACATTATTACACAACCTACATCAGTTTCAGACACAAACCACATCTTTTGGTTAAAATCTATTTATTCTTATAGTATAATTAATTTTTTATTCTATATAATTGGTATTATTTAATATTACTTTCTTGTAATTAATTTAATTATAAAATAACATTATAATAAATTTATTAATTATTTTTTAATATATAAATAAGTAAAAATATTGAAATTATAATAATTTTTTACCAAAGTTTTTAAATTTTAGAAATTATATATAGTTTTTTAATAAAAAAAAATTTAAAACACATGTCTAAGTTAAAATGAGAATTACTTTTTACACCAAGAACAAAAAAAGTAATTGAAAATGAATGAACTACTTTTTAAGAAGGCTTAATGGCGGGAAAATACACGACCTTTACGTGTTTGGCCATTTAATCACCACCTTTAGACTTTGGCAAATAAATACATGACCTTTACATTTTTGGCAATCCGATACATGCTTTTAACCGCCATTATGGCTTTTGACACACCAAACGGACATCCGAGTCAGCGCCCAGGTGGCAAATCGTGCACATGTGGCAGAATTGCAAAAATAATGCAAGAAGAGGATTTGAATCTTGAACCTCTAGTGTATAAGATGAGCTTATGAGCCACTTGATCCAACCCAACTTATGTTAAGTATTGGACTTCATTTATATATATACCAACATCATTTTATCCATATTATATAAAATTTATACAACTTTTGATTATAGTACTTATAAATAATTTATTTATTAAAATTATACTAATTATGAAATAAATAATATTACATTCTTGTTTAATAAAAATTTTATTATCATTAATGTTATTTTTATATTAATTCACTTGATTTAACTTTAGTTATTTTTATATATTAAATAATTATTTACTAAATGAATAAATATATTAAATATATATTATATAAATAAAGATATTAAATAATACAATATTATTTATTTATAAAAATAATAAAAAATAAAAGAAACACTAANTATTAAATGACAAACTAAAACATAATATATAAAAATATAATTTATTTATTTAATAATATTTATAAATATAATAAACTTTAATTTATTTAATATATTATTTATTTAATATAGTATATAATGTTTATTTTATTTATTATATTAAATTACGATAAAAAAACTAAATAAAAAAATATTATTCATTATTTTACTTTTTAAAATAAAATATTATTTATTTTATTGAATATATTATTTATTTCATATAGTATTATTTATTTCATAAAATTTAATTTATTTAATATATTATTTATTTAATAATATTTAATTTATTTAATATATTATTTATTCAATATAACAGATACTATTACTTTATTTAACATATTAAATTGCGAACTATATCTAAATAAGTAAAAATATAATTATTTATTTAATAATATTTCATATTTAAAATAATATTTATTTATTTAATAAAAATTTATTTATTTAATATATTATTTATTTATTATAATATATAATATTTAACAAATAAATTTTTATATATTTAATAAATAAATTATTTATAAGTACTATATTTAAGGTTGTATAAATTTTATATAATATAAGTAAAATGATGTTGGTATATATATAAATGAAGTCCAATACTTAACATAAGTTGGGTTGGATCAAGTGGCTCATTAGCTCATCTTATACACTAGAGGTACAAAGGTTCAAATCCCCTACTTGCATTATTTTTGCAATTCTGCCACATGTGCACGATTTTCCACCTTGGCGCTGACTCGGATGCCCATTTGGTATGTCAAAAGCCATGTAGGATTTCCGTTAACGGCAGATAACGGCAGTTAAAGGCATGTATCGGATTGCCAAAAATGTAAAGGTCATGTATTTAATTGCCA